GTTAATATTAAATTTCAAAAATAAAGAAAACATGAAATGATATTTTTATCAAGAAATTAATTTCATTTCACACCTCACTATATGCAATTGTAATTTTCTATTACTTATATCTTTGTTATAAGTACTTTATTTATGAAATGTACTTTAAGACATTATAACATTCATTATTATTGACAATATCATTATTAATGTATCTTATTAATCATATTGATAATATGATATTTATTTAATTTCCTTATAAGAAAAATGGTAAATTTAAAGTGATTTAATGATTACTATATTGATTATTGTTGAATACTTAATTTTTGTTAAATAGTAAGACAATATTATAAACGGAAATAAATAAGTATTAAAAATTACCTGAACAATAGCAATGCCAATGCCTACCCCTCCCAAAATCAAAGCATTACGTTCAATAGCAGCTTGAAGATTACTCATACAATCACTTGTATATATATGAACTGAATTTGTGTCACATGTACTTCCTTCTGGTACTTCTTTACAGCAAGAAACTGGTACAGTATTTTCTGGGAATCCAATATGAGTCCAATCAGATGCACTATGCATTCCGCAACATTGTAACTGAAATTTTAAAATTTGCTCTAAATATGTACATTTGTTGAAATTAAATTTACATAAGTCTATAATTTATTATTAACACGTTGAATGCCGTGGGGGTCATCGGTGACCGGCGGTCTCAAAATTAGTAAAAGCATTTAATTTGAATAAATGGTAGTATTTGTAAAATTTTCACCTAATGCATCACATAACATATTTAAATAGTTTTATTTCTAACTATTGACATATTATTTATGCATATTGCAATGTGTTGTATTAGAATAAAAAATTCTTTTCGGCACACCGTGGACAAGTTACGTAGAATTGGTCCAGCATTCAACGTGTTAATATCGTTACAGTGAATTGAACTAAAATTTTATTCAAATATTTTTTAGTACTTATTAAGAAATATTCTAATAAGAAGAATTCCTTAAATGCACCATTTATTTATTAATGAAACTTTGTCAACTTGTAGAATTTGTCAGACTAAATATATCTGTTCCCCATTTTGGGGGAAAACAGCTAATTTTTTACGAGATATTAACAATTAAAGTCATTATGCCTAATATTCTAAAATATACAATGTCTATACATATAAGCTGTTAGCTCCATGGTTAGGTACCTATGTGCAAATCTAAGGGTTGTGATTTCCAATTATGGTATTCCAGATTTTTCGTTCTTCCTTTTTATACATATAATTACACAAAGTTTTTTATAGTACCCTTATTAATAGTGTCTTTTAATTATATTAAAATTTTGGAATTTTAATATATACTTCAGTATGTAAAGAATAATTGAGTTTAATTGTTAATATTTCGTAAACAATTAATTATCTGCCCCCAAAATGGGGGACAGATGTATTGTACTTAGTCTGATAAATTCTATATTTTGGTAATGTTTTATTAATAAGTGAATGGTGCACTTAGAGAGTTCTCTTTGTATGTACACTAGAAAATCTTTTAAGCTACTAAAATTAATTTTTTTTACTCAGAAAATATTATATATAGTCATGCTATACTTAAATATTATGGAAATATGAATATATTGTCACAATATTATTTATAAGATATTATAAAGTAAGTCCTGCAAAAATCACATTCTTTTTGTATTGCAAACATTTTTAATAAAAGGATATTATTATGTATACTTACATCATGCTGCATAATATCCCAGGATCGGCGTATATCATCATTCGTTGAATACTTTTCCATAGTACTATTTAATCGATTTTCTACCATTGCATGGACTTCTCCTCTCATCATGTATCCAGCAATACCAGCACCAAGTTCGAGTGCAAAGATTAAAAGGAGTAATACAGAAAACTACATAGCCAAAATATAAGAAAAAAGAAAGTGTAATTATTTTTTATATGAAAATATTTTTTGATTAAAATAATAAGTTGATATATCATAAATTTTAAATTTAATTTGAACTTTCTATAATTGTTATAACCATATAAAAGGTGATTTTAGGTTTAAAAAATTGATTATTACCGTTATTATCATGCAATGGTTTTCTTTGATAGCACCACAACATCCAAAGAATGATACAATAAACACAATGCCACCTACTACAATCATCAATATTGGTGCCGCAAAAAACCAATTGTCCATAAAATTATTGTAGCCACCGTAAACTACAAGGATTACAGTACCAACTGCAATAAAGACAATTCCTGTGATCTGTAAACAAAAAAATTTAACAATAGAATTGGCAATTGTACATGATATCAACTATTCATACATAAAATTAAAATCATATAATTTCTTAGGGTATGTAATTTTTTCAAGCAATAATAGTGACAATGACAGATGTATGCATACAGGATGATTCATCTAATTTGATGACCTGAAATTACTAAAACTATTCGCTGTATGAAATAGTGTATGAAGCAACAGTTGCATAATTTTAAGAGTGACATATGTTAGAATAATTATTTTTTTTTCTACATTGTTTATACATCAAATCTTGAAGGTCACCATGTTTTTTTTAAACAGATTACCCTATATTTCTTTACAGAAATTAAAAGAGCATTAAAAGCTGAGTAAATAAATATTAGGGTGTAATATATCTAAAATGAGTATTTATTGAGATATTTATAATAGAAGTTCTATTCTATTGAAAATAAATTTACAGAGAGAAAAATATGATTCTGCATATTTTTTGTGCATTCAATTCCAATAAAATAGAACTTCTATTGTATCTCAATAAATACTCATTTTAGACATATTACACTTTAATACTTATTTACTCAGCTTTTCCACAAAGAAATACAGGGTGTTCCATTTACAAAAATCATGGTGATCTTTGAAACCTCATATATGTATAAACAATGTAGAAAAAAAAAAATTATAACTTATGACTTCTTTGAAAACCTGCAATTTTGCTTTGTACACTATTTCATACATTGAATAGTTTATCAGTAATTTCAGAACATTAATCTAGGCGAATCACCCTGTACATCATAAAATTCAGAGGATACTGGAATTTAATTAGTACATATGTCTATATATATGACAATATCTATTTATTTACTTTACAATTTTCAAATAATTCATAATAATCTTAATCTTAATATAACAAAGCAATAAATAGAAATGAAAACCTATTTATTTCAGCTACATAACTAATATTTGAAAAAAAAAATTATACAACAATTATATTTTAGAAATCACAATTTGTTCTAAGTTAACAATGAATTAGTAATTAAG